AACCACAACACAAACCAATTGGTTATTAGACAAGCATTTATCAAATCAAACTCAAGGGGATAACCAGTCATACCAGTCAACTGAGGGCCCGTATTCTAATTCTTGCAGAATCTCGGGCGCGATGTAGTCGGGAGTGCCGCAAAAGGTGGTGGTAGTGGTGCCGTCGGCGATACCCTCTTTACACATACCGAAGTCGGCGATCTTGCAGTGGCCGTCGCTGTCCAACAGTATGTTATCTAATTTTAAATCCCTGTCCACACACACGAGACAACAACAAATGGTTAGTCACTCACTATCAGTGATTCAAACGCACACGAATTCAGTGGACATACCTATAAATAACACCATTTTTATGGAGGAACATAAGAGCTAATGTGACTTCGGATGCATAGAACCGGGCCCGGGGCTCATCGAACTTACGGGCCTTTTGTATCTGAAACATAAGGTCCCCACCGTTCACGTACTCCATCACAAAAAACAGCCGATCCTATCGTACGGATAGACAATGAGACAAAGCAATTAAATGGCAGTTCGCGATCAAATCGCTGGACATTATTACAGATAGTAATTCACACTACAAAAACATACCGGCGTTTGGAAACAGGAGTGAAGCGCTGTGAGGAACGGGTGTTTGGCCGAGAGGGCCAGTATGCGCTTCTCGGTCATCGTGCAGTCCACGTCGTCGTCTTGGAGTATGACATCCTTTTTGAGCACTTTTACGGCGTATACTTCGTCCGTACCTTTCTTTTCGGCTAACATTACCTAAAAACACACACAAAAAGAAAACCATTACTTCCCGCACACATCCACACAAACACCGTTCCCATCGGCACATACTTTGCCAAAACTGCCTTTCCCTAAGACTTTAATAAAATTGAAATCGTCTAACGCGTAGCGACGCCTCCTATCGCCGTCGGGACCGATGAGGTGAGCGGCGCTGCGGTCGAGCACCTGCTGCAGCGCCTGATCCCTATTACCGACGCTATCCCTGAACGACCGGTTCAACTGATTGCCGGTCGGGTCGGCGCCGCCCCCATAGGGCTGCTCCGGGAAGCCCGTGAACCCCGACATGTTGTCGAGCCCCGTGGGCAGGGGTGAGGTGTGCGAGCGTTCGGTCATCGGCGCGCCGAACCTATTGGGCGACTCACTGATCGACGTCTTCTTCTTTTTGCCCGATTTGTTCAGCTTTTCGCCCGAAATGCCTAACCCTTGGAGGGCGTCGGCCAACACTTTCGCATTTATGCCGCAATTGTTCGCGACGTTCG